ACCGGAACCGGACCGGACCGGACCGGACCGGACCGGACCGGACCGGAACCGGAATGAACCGGGATGAACCGGTACCGGTACACCGGTACGAAACTACGGTTCCGTCCCCTTCCGTGTACCGGTTTAGAATATCCCGGCCCGTCCCGTAGGCAACCGAAACGGGACGAACCGGAACGAACCGGAACGGTACCGGTACGTCCCGTTCCGTTGCCCAGTCTTAGGCCAGAAGTAGTCAACACAAATTTCTGTTAAAGTCTATCAAGGTCAATTTTCATCTTTAGCCATGTAAAATTATACCTGAAGAAATGATAATAAGAGAATTTATAATCAATCCTTTTTCATGATCTAATCTGTTCTGTTTGTAGAATTCGATTGTTTTTTCTGTTACTTACCTCACTAAACAATATAATGGTTAAAGCGAGCAAGGATCGAAAAGTACTAATTGCTAATCATTCCAAATGTTTTTTCATCAAATTCATAAAACTTAAACTCAGCAGACTAAATCAGGAAGTTACCTACTGAATAGGTTAAATATTTGAGAGTTTATAATAACACATGAAACTGATAATCTTAGCTGTTGGTCAAACAAAAGAATGTCCATTGTGATTTCTTCTAAAAAAAATCAAAATGTACGCATATAATGTATTAGTAAATCACTTCAAAACCTACATTTTCACTATTCAATAGAAAATTAGAGATATAGTGAATCAGGCTAGGAGTAGCACCAATATATCAAAAGTTATTCATAGCCAAAAACAAATAAACCTGTAGAGATCAAAGAATTTCATAAAAATATAGTGAACTGGGCCAGGAATAGCAACAATGTACTTCTCAATATGAGATACCAACATATTGCTAGAGTAAGCAGTTTCAGCTAGGATAAATTACACCTCAAACTCATGATTTTAACTAAAATTTAATTAAAACATTATACTTATCCTCAATTTTTCAATACCATTGAATAATGGTATGATACTTCAAATAAAGTTCATTTTAACACCAAGTAAACAATTGTGACAACATTCAGTATCTTAATTCAACTAAATGAGTGTTCATTTTCGATTCAAGACATATGTCTTTTGTATATGAAGCATACTGTAGAGAATAGCATGACAAAAGAAATACCGATGATTAACGTCCATGCTAAGCGATGAGCTTGATAGTAGATAGTTGTAGAAAAAGAGTTAAACAAATTTGTTGGTGATCTTTCTTTCACTGAAAAATTTCGTCAAAGACATTGTTGCTTCAATCCTCTTTACTTGTTGTTACTGCTATTTTTATCAGATAGAAACTCCCGAGGCTAGAATTCACAAAGAAAACATGAATAACGAGGACATTTGAGCATTAAAAAATAAACACTAACCACAAGGGAAGTGATGTATAAATTTCATAGCCTAAGATTATAATCTTTTTTTTACAATCAAAAGATTAGACTCTGCACATTTACAACATAAACAGATCTCAAATATCAAACCAACACTATGAACTGAAAAAATGATATTATCAATCAAGTTCTTTCTGAACATCCATAAATTTGGACTTACAAATAGACTCCAAAGGCGGGTAAAGTCGAAGATGTCACATGCCAGTACGGATGCTTCCTAGTTCAACTTTGACACCCTATACATGTACCCAGGAAAGGTTTTAGAGTCGATCCCCGATTTAAGTGTCCAGTTGAAGAAATGTTCACCAAATATGACTCTATTCTCATCTTGATTTTATCAAAAATGCCTGGAATGAATATCATATAGTTATAGATTTAGATTTTCCACCAATGAATGATAAAATAGATATGTAGTTTTTATGGTCTGAATGTGGAATCTTAAGATAAGCGTTAAGAGTTCATTGGTTACTACTATCTATTTAAGTACAAATAAAATGAGTTGTAGATAATTGTATTAAAAAATGATAAATTTACTACTATCCAAGCTAATGTACAACCTGAACAATTTAATACAAAGTAGACAAAAAGTTGACATGTCGATCATCATAAAAATATTTACTATAGTGAAAAAGTACAAAAACAAATATTGAATAATATATCACCAGTTGACCTATATGTGTGTCTGAATTATTTTTTTAGCTTTCATCCATTTTAATAAAGCTTGTCATTTTTTTTAATATGGTATTTTCAGAAATCAAGGTATTCAAGTAAGAGTTATTGTGAGTTGTTCTGTATAAACTATACTTCAAGTTTAAAATGTCAATATTGAAATGTAATCTAAACTGTAATGCACAGGATCACAACATCAAGAAGAAAATTGTTCGATTTGCATGAACATTCATAAACAACCTGATAATAAATCATCAATCTAACTATATATAATGATATTACTTGATATACCTTTCATTTAGGCAAGGGAATGCATTCATATCTTTCATTATTGGTAAAAGAGGGGGAAGTAAAAATCTTCAGTCGTATTTGCTTTTCTTTTGCTCAAGAGTGCTTAATCGGCTCTTTCGAAGAATTTTGATTTCGACAACAGGGTTTATCACAACAACAATGTCACCTCCTGGATAACCAAAGACCTTTCTTCTTACTGCTGCATTTGCGGGGACACTTTTTTCTACTTGCTATGTTTCTTGGACTCTTCGTGTCGGATACTTCAAAAGTAGTGCATAAAATTAGATACAAACGCAATAACAATTTAGGAGAATCCATCCACATGTCACGCTATAACTCTATTGAGAACATTTAAAGTAATTTATGCAAAATAAGAAAACTTTTAACGGACCAGTCGACTTTCTATCCTAAATACTAAAGTTTTCTATAATTACATTGTGCTACCATTACGTTTACCTTGTTCTTCTCTGCTCTGCTTGTGCATTCGACACCAAATGAGCCTAAAGGAACTCATAAAAAAAAGATTTTTGTTACTGTAATACGGTGGAGAAAAACTATATGCTTTCATTACCGGTTGAAGCATCCCAAAGGGTTCTAGTGATCCCGAGAACATGTTTTTTCCTATCAGCTTATCCACCTTGTGCTTGCATCTTTCCATATGCTAGAAAAATAAGAAAACATTAAAATTAGTTGTCAAATGGATCAATATTAGCAGATTGATATGAAAGGGAAGCAATTCAAAGGAGGAAAGAAGACACATGCCCTACTCTACATTCACATGATTTTTTCTCATTTTTTTTAAAAAAAATGGAACTACTCTTAAGATGGAAATATACGTTTGTTGTTTCCCCAAATTCACGTTCGAGTTTCATTGCTCCACATATAGGCTATCTTTGTTATTTTCCTAAGCCATTCACAATACAACTCTCAAGTCAAATTCAAAATTCAAAATAAAAATTTAACTTTCAAAATAGGGAGCTCAAACTTGCACAAATAGAAAAAAAAATTGACAAGTTCTAAAAGAACAAAACCCACAAAAAAGCTCTAGATGCGCTACAGTACTACATCACACAATCTAGTACATATACATTTTCTAAACATATATCAATATAACACAAAATTAGGAACATGAAAGTGCAAAATTCTACCATAAACTACTGAAAAGCAAAAAATACAAGATAGAATAAAAGCATGAACTTGCAAAGATTTAAAGAGAAAAGTGAGAAAAATAAAAAATGGAGAAATCAATTTTCGAACAACCCTGATTAAATCAAACCGAATTAGTAACATGCAAGAATAATATCCTACAACAATGCATTAAAAATCATAATATCAAATAAATATCAAAAAGAACTGGAAATAAATTAGGAATTGAACGATAAAAATAGACATTTTACAATTATCACATATAATACATGGGACAAAAAGAACTCACCCATTTCAAGATGAAAAGAGAAAGCGATAGAGATGATTATAGTTTGCAAAGAGAGACAATTTATTTATTTCAAAAGTAGAGGTGATTTCAATTTCTTACACGTGGATGTAAAGCAACTATTGCCAATAAATATGGATCAGACAGAGCAAACGTAGTACAATTTACTTTGCTTTTGGTACAATTTTCTTATGCAGTGTTAGTCCTCTAAACTGTCCCTTCTAAATAAGGGTATATATATATATATAGAGAGAGAGAGAGAGAGAGAGACAGAGAGAGAGAGAGAGGGGGAGGGGGGGGGGGTTAATACACATAAGCTACTGAAATAAAATAATTCTAAATTTGTATTTCGTGATCCTAATAGCTAAAAAATAGTGTGGATCCCACATAAGGTATGAACATCAGTCACTAGTTAATACAAAAATTTAGAGTAAAAAATTAGGCAATTTTCACATATAGCAAATAAAAAATTTATATTTGTATGTTATAACAAAGTTTGCATAATTGCGCTCCATAGCAAACATAGAAACTGTATAATTTGCTATACATATACAGTTGAAGCAAATTGTATAAAACGAAGTGTATAAAACAAGAAAGAGAAAGATACTTGGGCAGAGAACTGTATAAAAATGAAGTGTATAATTATTATAAGTATATAGAACGATTATATACAATTTGAATTTGTATAAAATGAGAAAGAGAGAAAGACAAAAGAGACTTGATAAGGAATATACAATTGAGTCGAATTGTATAAAACGAGAAAGAGAGAAATTAGATACAATTTGAAAATTATATAAAACGAGAAAGAGAGAAAGACAAAAGAAACTGGGCAGGGGAGTATTTTTATTGTATAATTATAAGTGTATAGGACGAAAATATATGTACTTGTATGTGTATATACAATTTTCTCACGCTTTATACAAACATAAACGCAATTTATACATTTCGCTTCTGTTTGTATAAGTGAGAAAGGCGGGGGCAGCGAGCAAGATTTGGGAGAGTGGCGAGCGAGATCTGGAAGAGGGGAATACAATATATGTATTTATACAATTTTCTCTGCTTTATACAATTAGAAACAATTTTTATACACTTGTGTTTGAATAAAAAGTGAGGAAGCGAGCGAGAGATTGGAGGAGAGTTCCGAGCGAGATATTTGGGAGAGAGGCGCCTGACAATTTCTTTGCAAACATTTGCTATGGAGCACAATTAAATTAAACACTAGCTACTCCATTTATTTTAGGTTATTAGTTTGCTATTATATACAATTTTTCCTAAAAAATTTTATACGAAAATTCATAGGCTAATATATACAAAAAAAATTGAGAAAAAATATATGAATTCCTGTTTCATGATCCCTAAATGTTAAAAAAAAATCACTACTAGAAATAAGCTATTTACCGGTTACAGCTCCCGACTGCAAATATGTAATCGAAAATTTGGAAAATTTTCCGACTACAATAATCGATACATTAAAATTTATATTGTTTAATTGTTTTTATATTTTACCGAAAATTATTTTAACTACAGAAGTCATAAGTTTTATGAAATAAAGTTAACAAAAAAATTTACTAGTGTTTCGATTACAATAGTCGGCAAGTTATTAAAATATTTTAAATAAAAATAACACCTCATACACATTTAAGGCTACATATATCGAGTTATAAACATACTTTTTAAAAATAAATCACTTATAGAAGATTATTATCGAGTTATAGCATATCAATTAAAATATATTTAATTAAAAATAAATTATAAGTAGTTATTTAAATACTAATTAATATGTTTAAATATTTATTTTTATTTTTACAGTTAAATTTTATTTTATTTTTAAATAAAATAAAAAGGTTTTATTTATTAATTAGTAAGTAGCACCAATTGTGGGATTTGAATTAATATAATTAATAATGGATAATTAACAAATTAGCATATATTAAGGAATTCAAAAAAAAAATTAAATTATTCAGTTTCCTTAAAATTCTCAAATTAATTTAAATCAAATTAAAACATGATTTTTTTCTTTTTTTCCTCTCTATCACGTTTCTCACTCTTCTTTTTGCAGAATTTTTACTCCCTTTTTTTCTTGACTGAGTTTTTCTTTATGTGAAAAAATTGTGGTTTATTTTGATGGACAATAACTTATCAATATTAATTAAATATGGTGGAAGATGGCCCGTCATGTTGGTATTTATTATAGTTTTCTGATTTTTTTTAGTAATCTCTATTAATTCATTGTATTAAGAGTCTTATAAGATTGTATGATATTTATTTTTTTGTTTGGTAATTTTTTTTGTTATTTGTGGATATGTGTAATACTAAAAGAATTGTTGGTGAAAAAATCGTATAAAATTGGTCAACATGATGTTAGTTGTCTGAATTGCATATTAATATTGTATGAAATATGAAATGCTAGTTTGTTTGTCTGTTTCTGATTTGTAAAACAATGTTTGTATTATTTTTTTGACATTTATAATATGAAATGTGCATTATTTGATATTAAAGATTTTTATTTTATTTTTAAATGGCATATTTTTTTGGAACTGTTTTTAATGAGCATTGAGTTTCCATTTTAGGTGATACCACGATGGTTGATATGTATGCTGTTGTTGAAGGACCAAAGAAGTACATAGTAAATTTAAACACAAGGTGTATAGTTGCGGGAGATTTCACCATTCATGTAATTGCAGTTCTTAGATATAGGATACTTTATGAAACATATTTATGTTCTGCCTTTTATAGCCTGAAGAATTTCATAGATGCATATGTCATCCTTGTTGAATCTATCCCCTGCGAGAGTACGTGGAATATACCCAGTTATATTTCAAAGCTTAAATTGATGGCTTCCGATCCAAGTAGATCAGTTAGAAAATCGCATGTTGAACGCTGAAAGGAATTTGCTGATGTGAAATTCAAAAGGTCAAGGTTACTTGTAGTAGATGTCGTCAAGTTGGACATAACAGGAAGACATGTTCAAATTATTTTGTTAAAAAATTATTTCATGATTTTTACATTTTGTTACACAACATGTTTTGTTTTATGGAATGAATTTGGTATAATTAATATTTGAGTAATTGTGATTTCTTATTATTGTCCAATTATAAATAATATTGAAACACATTTTGTGTCCGTTTTCAATTTTTTTTCCTATACTAATATTTAGTTAAACAAGAATCATACATAGTTTATACAAAAAACATATATATTAAACAACTTTTTAAACATATAATTGTACAATAAAACTCTTCTTGAAATAGTTCAGACATAGTTTATACATAGATCATACATAGTTCGTACAAAGTTCATACCTATGGATAAAAAAATACATGATAGTTGTCATACTAAAACGATAATAAATCAAAAGTGTGATATCATGTTCATGCTAGTAGTAGTCAGACTTCATACATATTTCATCCAGACAGTAATTAGACTTCAAACATAATCAATAATTGAAGAAAGATTCATACAAAAAGGCCAACAAAATAGAAATGTAATGTCATGCCCATACAATTACTAATCAGACTTCATACATACATCAAGTTATGTATCAATTCAAACATCATTAAACACTGTCATATAAATGGACAACCAAATCAATTCATACACAAATCATGAAATGAAATTCTAAGGTACTTTCATACACAAATCATACAACAGTAATACATCAATGTATATATCAATTCATACAACATTTATACACAAGTCATACAAACTAATATATCAATCCACACAGAATTCATACGATATTAATACATATTACTAGTGTTTGAATGATGTTCCATTTTATATATAAATTGATGTATGTATGAAGTCTGATTACTAATTGTATGAGCATGATATTACATTTCTAATTTGTTGGCTTTTTTGTATGAAGTCTGATTACTAATTGTATGGGCATGACATTACATTTTTAATTTGTTAGCTTTTCTGTATGAAGTCTGATTACTAATTGTATGGGCATGACATACATTTCTAATTTGTTGATTTTTTTGTATGAATCTTTCTTCCATTATTGATTATGTATGAAGTCTGATTATTATCTGAATGAATTATGTATAGAGTCTGATTACTACTAGTATGAATATGATATCACATTTTTGATTTATTATCATTTTAGTATGACAACTATTATATATTTTTTGATCCATATGTATGAACTTTGTACGAACTATGTATGATCTATGTATGAACTATTTTAACAAGAGTTTTACTGTATAATTATATGTTTAAATGT